ATGGCGTTTGCAACAGAATATATATATATATATAGTAGAAAAGAAATAAGAAAAGCTAGATCAATCATTGTCAATACCTTATTCAGAAAGTTAAGTGTATCATGGTTATTGCTAAATCTGTGTTGGTAAAAAGAATTTTTGCAGAATCATTTTAAATTTTTTCATTTTACACTAAACCTCATCACTATTTCCCTATTCCTCATCCTTTTCATCATTAGCCATTGTTATTGTTCAAAACACAAGTCAGCAATGAGCGTTTGACTCCAAGGTCACACACATCATGTGCTTTTTTAAACTTCATAAGCTTCTGAAGAAGAGCAAATTCTTTCCCTTTTGCAGAGTTCTGTCTATAATAATTTCAACTTTATTATTTTGATTTAAAAAGACTGGTATTTTAATAGCAGTGTCATTAATACGCTTAATTTCTTTGTTAAATAATAAAAGTTGAATAAAAGGACTGTAAAAAATCATCATAAAAACTGATTTAAAAAAACTTACCGACAATTTTAAAGAAATGAAGCCTTGTGATTTATCCTACATTACAATTTCATTTTTTTAAAATGAAATTTTAAAAAAAATCTGTAATTATGTACTTGGTAAACTCGAAAATAAGCCTAATATAAAAACTAAATACTGCTGTATTGATTTGTTGTGTCTCCCATCCTAGAAAACATGGTAACTTTATTTATTTATTGTCTATTATAAATTAACTATTATTTTATATATAAAATTATTTGTAAATAAAGTTGTTTGTAGGATTTCAGTGTTGTTGGCTTAAGACTTTTGTTAGCATAGAAATAACTGTGAGTTAATTTGGTTTCATTTATTGTACTATAGTTTCCCTATGTTTTTATGACAAAAACAAATTTAAAGTTCATTGCAAATTTATTTTTTTTGTTGTTGTTGATCCGAGGCGCAAAATTATACCATTTTTAGAAATCAATTTTCACCAATTTGTTATCATAATTTTTAATTCTAGAACACTATATATTGCCTATGTTTTTTTTCTTAGTTGCAGTCAAAGAAATATGCTGTGCAAAATGAAATTTATAGAGCATTCGATTGAATTATTTTTAGCTCTTTCCCCCCCCCCCTTTCTTGAAATTTACCAGTATGCCAAAAAATGACCTGATTCTTTTTGTAAAATGCTGTTCTGATTTTTATTTTGAAACAATACAAGGCCCACGAATGCCAAAGGTTTACTTTAGTTTCAGCCATCATATTGTTTGTTTGTATTAAACTGAAGTCAGAAGATAATGACATTGAGAAATATTTGACTATTTGTTTTTTCTAAAGGACGGGAAAGATTTATAAAAGTTAGTCTGCATTTTAAAGGATACCATTTAAAAATTTTCATGTCTGAATTTTTATTTTTTATATTCAATTGCAGAATTTTCACTTAATATTGTTTCGAAAATCAAGAAGAAGTGTACTATGTCCCTCTTTCTTTTTATTATACTTCACTCTGTTCCTTATTGTGTTTCTCTGCTATATTTCATGTAAACTATAATTAAAAATGTGTTGTTTTATGTTTTATTTATAAATATTGAAATTTACTTATTTTTAAAAATAGACATATTTCTCAATTCAAATTTAGGGATGCTACTTGAGTGCAAGATGTTTTTTTTTATTATTTCATTAAATATTATTTTTTTTATTTGCTTCCCTTATTTTTCGAAGTACAATATTTAAATATTCTAAAAAGGGAGTTTCACTTTGTGCAACTGAAAGCAGCATTTCTTTAGAAGAGGGAAATTTTATTCATAATTATATTAGTTTTACTCAGCAAACTTCCATTGCTATGTAAAAATTTGTGCTAAAGAATGTTAAAAAGTGAAACTGTGTGTTATAGGTTTACTATGTCTAATATATATTCAATAACTTTGAGATAATATCACTTAGTTTAGACATAGTTTGCATTTGAAACTGTAGCATTATTATGAATTTAAATCACAATTGTTTTTACTATAGATTGAAAATTGCAGTTTTAAACAAAAGAACCCAGAGATTTAAATTATATGATGTGGACTATTTTGTATTGAAACCTATATTAAAATGTAAGTAATACTTTTACCTATAAAGCTTTTAAAATTATTTTTGAAATTTATACTAAATGTAGTTTCTTAAATATATAGCCTAGGCTTATTAAAAGAGTTCCCATTACGACTCTTCCATTGCAATGCCTGATACAGGAATTTTTTTTTTTTGCTATTCCATAGATGCAATGTTATTTTAATGTAAATTAGAATGTCAGAACTGAATAGTTCTTTCCAATATAGTGAACAAAATTTTGCTTAATTTTTTTTTAGGTCTAAGAAATCACTCCAAAAGCTGGTTTATTTTCAAAACAATCATTTTTTCATTCGCAATAAAAAATTGCATTGCAAAAGTCTTGAGAAAAGGATTTAAACCACTATTTCTTGTATTATTGGTAAACAAACTTGAAACATCTGAATATTTTTATGAATGATGAACGAGTGACAGAACGAACTATTCTTACACTAGATTGTCCTAAGCATAACTTTTGGTCAAAAAGATGGTGAAATTTTGATTATTATTCATTTTTGAGAATTAGAAGCATGCAATGCATCTTCATGTGGAAACCAAAAATTTCTAAATTTCTCTGTGTGTCAAAACCTCTGTGTGTCAAAGGAATCAATAAATTCATTAAACCTATTTTTCTTGTTTGAAAACTGCATATTTTCTATCTATGTTGTAATAGGCGATTTATTTTGGAGTTAAAATGCGTGGAATTTATATTCCTGTTGATTTTATTTATTTAAATGTAATAAAAACTTCAAAATTAAGGTTTCTAATAAGCGGTGCTTGTTTCTTCGTTTGATCTTGCTGAGCTCTTTTCATTTACATGGAAATGCTCTTTTCATCAAAATGAAAATCAAAGAGTGAAGGCATTTCACACATTTGTTTTTATATATACAGGGTGTTTTATAAATTCCCGGACCCATTTTGATCTTTAATAACTCATAAAATAATGAAGATATAAACAAACTTATGGCATTTATTGATGGAATAACTCATATATTTTCCTTTTCAGGTTTGAATATCTTTACTTTTGTTAATATCGTCTGCGCATGCGGTTAATTTCAGATAATTTCATTTTCCAGTCTAAATATCATCTGCTTATTAATTGCATTTTTCTCTCCTTTGTTTTTGGCAACTATTGAAATGTTATGTTTACTTTTGATGTGTTTGTTCTATGTAGTACTTTACTATGTGATGTTTTATTCGAGCGGATATTAAGGAGAATGCATACACCACAAGAGAATGCTCAGATTTTATGGTGGTTCATAGAAACGAAATCGACAGTGCAAGCACAGAGAAATAGCAGAAGAATTTACCAAAAAGATCTTCCATCCAGAAGCAGCATTTTGCGGTGAGAAAAGAATTTTCTAGAAACTGGAAGTATCGCAGATAAGAAACGTTCCAAACGTCCCTGCGCAAGTGGTTTTGACGTTGAGCGTGTCAGACAGACATTTCTAGACAATCCTAGAAGATTTATGAAATCAGCTGCAAGAGAATTGGATATGCCAATTTCGACGTTGTACAAGGTTATTAAGAAACAATTAAGACTGCATGCATACAAAGTTCAAATTGTTCAAGGTTTGGAACCGGACGATAGGCCTAGAAGGATGGCGTTTGCAACAGATATGGTAGGAAGAATAGAAGATGATGCTGATTTTCTGAAGCACATAATGTTCTCCGACGAAGCATCCTTTCATGTTTCTGGCATTGTTAATCGCCATAATGTGCGCATATATGGGGATCTGAAAACCCCCATGAATACCGTGAGACACAAAGGGATTCCCCAAAGGTTAATGTGTGGTGTGGACTGATGCACGACCGAGTCATTGGGCCTTTCTTTTTTACAGAAAAGACGGTCTCATCAGTCGTATACTTAGACATGTTGGAAAACTTCGTATTTCCACAACTAGAAGAGCTTCAGCCTCATGTCTTTTTGCAACAAGATGGTGCACTACCTCATTGGGTTATCATCGTTCGTAGTTCTTTGAATGACCATTTTCCAGGAAGATGGATTGGGCGAGGAGGTCCAATTCCTTGGCCACTCAGATCACCTGATATAACGCCGCTGGAATTTTTTCTTTGGGAATTCATGAAGGACAATGTTTACAGGAGGATCGTGTCGAACATTGATGACCTAAAAGCCAGAATTACAACCGCAATAGCCTCTGTAGATGCTTGCTGCTACCTGACGTGAAATTGACTATCGACTTGATATTCTTCATGCGACAAAAAGGGCACCCGTGGAAGTTTATTGACAAGGGTCATGAAACTTTTTGAGTCTACCTAACCATTTATGTTATTAATTTCAATCTATCTTTAATATTTTATTAGTTATTAAACATCAAAATGGGTCCAGGACTTTATAAACACCCTGTATAATGTATTATGTTTTTTCCTTTTAAATGAAATTGCATTTTGTTTTATTTGGAAATCATATCCCATTTACAGTGAAACCTGCCAAGTTGACCACCCTTGCAAGTTGGACACCTGCATAAGTTGACCTCAATTATCAAGAACGGAATTTTTCCTATATAATATAAAGAATCAAAACCTTTGTAACTTGACCACTGAAATAAGTCAATTTTATCTAGGAGTATTATGAAACTCTATTCTAAAGTCCTCATAAGTTGAATAGAAAAAAAAAATTCAGAAAATTTTCTGTCATTTTTGCAATGTATGTTAAAATTTCACTTGCTTGATGAAATATGTAAAAAGCTAATCTAAACCCTTTTAGTGAGTTGACCATTTAGGGAAACTGTAGGGGGTCAGCATTTGACCATTTCTTTCATTCAAAACATTGGGCTGATGTAAAGTCTAAACAACAGTGCCAAACAACAATGAGGGAATATTTTTGTAATAAATAGGTTTGTAAGTGTAGTAATAACAGAATAAATTTTAAAGTGTTCAAATAATTTTGTTTTGTTAAAGTTTTCAAATTACATGTTTTCGTGTTCTGATATTTTAAGAAATTATTTTTATTAAACACTTCACACGCTTAACAAACGAAATAACTTTTTTAAAAACATTAGTTAAATATTAGAATTATAAGTAACAACTTGAAGTTCACTCAAGTTTAAACACATTTTTTAAGATATTCATTAGGCTACTTGCTAAATAAAATTTTTAAGTCAAGTAAAAAAAATTTTTTAAATATGTAGCAACATGATATAGGACACGAAAAAGTAAACAATGACCCACCCCCTCTATAAGTTGCCCACTTCTCTAACTTGACCACTAAAACATTGCACCACAAGTGGTCAACTTACACAAGTTTTACTGTATGATGTTTTGATTTGTCTCTATTTTTTGGGGGGGGGGTAATAAAGTAAATTAAATAAATAGATAATAAATAAATAGACTCTTAAATAAAAGTGTCTTGATACATTCAAATATATTACTCAACTGATTTTTTTTCCAGGTGATATTTTTGCTGACACTTTTTTGAAAAGTAAAATTGAACAGGTTAGTGGAAATCAATTTTAACTGAAATAAATCCTATTTTTAATGACCAGATTTTAAAAGCACTTTTGACATTTATACTGTCACAAAAGATAAGTAATACTATAACCATTAGTTATAAAAGAAAGTGACATCTCTTTTCTTATGGGAGCATAAACAAAAATCTTTTATTATTAACAAAAGCTTCTTAATTTGTCAAATTGATAGTTTTCTTCAATATGCAAGTAAGAATGACAGATAAATGTAAATTTTTTTGTATTTCAATCTTTTATTATAAAAAAGAATTAAAAATTCATACAGAACATAGTTTATTTTATAAAATGAAGTTTAAAAATAATTACTCCAGCTTGTAGTTTGAGTTATATTCAGGGCTATAACTTGTTTGATAAAGATAAAAAAAACTGGGTATTATGAATACTTCCTGCCCACCTTTTTTTGCGATACGTAAACTACCAGCTACTAGCTCTACTTATTAAGAGTTAAAGCATAAATAATTTGTGAAATTTCTTTAATTGTGTATAAGTAAATGCAGCTGTAAAAACATATCACAAGTAAATATTCTGCTAATAAGTAGCAGTTGTCAAGCTCAGTTTACTATTCCCAAGAAAAAACTTAATGTTTTTGCTAATAGTATTTTTTTAAAAATCTTTTCTGAATAAGTTGCAGCTCTTCCTAATTGATGTTTTTTTCCTCAAGGAACTGAGAATAAATGGTCATACAAATTGTTGTTTCCTTAAATTAAATATATTTTTACCTTACTATTCATTCATAAGATTTAATCTTGGTATTAGTCAAGAGAAAAGGTGGCAACAGCAATAAAAATGTTCCTTAAAAAAGACTGAAAATCCATTTTAGAAATTGAGAAAATCATTAAAAACAATATTTTTAAAAATGTTTAATTATTAGTGAAAATTTTCCAGAAACAAAACTTTGTTTGCTTTTTAAATGGTTCCTTTTTTCCAAAGAATTAAAAAGTATTTTAAATTTTTAGAACTATCCACAATGTTTGTCTTAACTCTTTGCTACAAATGGTATTTTAAAAGCAACAGTTTTGTTGCTTGTAAAATATTATTTGGAGACTGATTGGGGCTACCAGAACAACTTATGCTGCTGTTTTAAAAATGGAACCAATAATTACAAATTGGAATCGTTCTTTACTTTTTTATTAATTTTACCAATTTTAAATGCTGATACTGAATTCCTGTAGTTTCAAATGTGTTATATTGGTTTAAAAAATTTTCAGTTATAAACCCAATCTCTCAAGGCAGTGGTTCCCTAAGTTCTGCAAGTTACACTTTTTTTAGTTAAATTTTTCTATAATTCTTACTCTTAAATAAAAGTGTAATTGAAATAAAACTCTTGTATCTATTATGGAACAAGTGAATTCATTTGTTATGAATTTTATCAACAATAATTAGGATATTGATGCTTCCTATGAGTTGTGGCATAAACTTTGGAAATAACTATCTTAACATTAGCTAGTGTTTCTCTTTTAGAATCAAAGTTTAACTCTAGAGTTTGGAGGAAAAACTAAAAAAAGAAGCCTTGTTTCAAAGCTAAAATTTCAGTCTGGAGAAAATAATATGACATTGGATGAAAGTGTTTTACAAAAAATTTCTGAAATGCCATCAACCTCACTTGATAGTAAGTTTCTGAACAAGATACTATAATTTTCATACTAACAAATAAATAATCTTATTTGAATTTTTAATTATAATTTAATTAATTTTAATGATAATTTTTCTAAATTTTAATAATCTTATTTTTTATCTTGAGTTAGCTTTATTCATGGGAAGATAAAGATTTACTTACAGAATGAACGAATTGCGGCTTTTGCTATTTATGATTTATTAAGCATACATATGTTCACTTGGAGAAACATGCCAGTTTTTATTATTTTCACAAAATGTTTGTTACTAAGAAAAGCAAATTGTTTTAATTTGAAAAATTATAAACCAATCTTTTGGGGAGAGTAGTAAAATTATTATAAGTTTAATCGTAATTTAAAAATTGAACAAGCACTTTTGCTTAGTTTTTAAAACAAAGTTTTTTGGGATTTTCATCAAATTTATTGAATGTAAAAATATTAAAAGCAAAAACGCAGTTTTTATTGATCTTTTTGCTATAAATTAAACTATAACAGATTATCAGTGAAAATAGATCTATCATTTGCTTTGAAAATTTGTTTACATTACTCAATGTGGTAAGTATTATGTACATATATATGTCTGTCCATTGACTTCTTATTTCAATCAATTTTCTATATCATTATGATATTTGCATGGCTTAAAATAAACCTTTATCAATTCAGGCAATTTTTGGTTTTGTGATAGTGGCTTTCACAATCCCTTATTAAATAATAAATTTTAACATTTAGCTTATAAATTTTTACATTAATGTTAAACTTATATGTAATAAAAGTTACATGTATGCAATAGAAGTTAATAATGTGTAATAAAAGTTATCTTATATGTAGTTAACTTATATGTAATTAAAGTTAAAATTCTTTAAAATATTTTTCAATAAAAGTATATTTTAGTCTAGTTCTATCATTTTAAAATGACATTTTAGTGTTCTTTTATTAAAACAAAAACTATACATTTTAATTAGTGAAATCAACTATTTTCTTTTATCAAATCATAAAAAAAAATTGTAATTACTAAGTAATTTTTGTGGTTCTATCTCAGTGAGATGCAGTTAAACTAGATACTAACTCTCGAACTTAAAATTCTGTTGAAGGGTATTTTTTAAATTTTTTTTTATTTAAAAATTGGTTTTACAAGTTTCTTAATAACTAGACTTTAGTAAATTGATATTAATTTCATTAAACAGTTATATATTGTTATTTTAGAATGCTATATAATACTCCTTTTTAAAATGAGTTTTCTTTTTCTTTGTTTAGTTAAGCCTACAGTTCTGTCCACATCTGATGATATCATTCCTCCTGTAAATAAGACTGCTTTGAGTCCAGCAGAAGTTTATAGCATCATTGATAGTATCTTTCTATATATATTTTAGAAATTATGCAAGGTGGTAAAGGAAATCACAATATACTTACTCAACTTTTAATTGATGACAGCTACAATCAGAAATTGTGTACATAAAGTGAGCTGGTTTTATCTAATTAATAAAACTTGTTACAGAACCACCTAACCTCTGAATTCTAACTTAATGTCTCTCTATGAGGGATTCAAATTCTAGGAAAAATTTAAATTGAAAAATTGTTACATAATCAATTTATGACAAAAGTATACAGTTGCTCTTTTTTGTTAAGTGTATAATATGTGAAACACTGATTCCCAACACCAGACTTACAAAATATTAAAACAAGACTTAATGTATACAAGGCCATTTTTAGGTTATTTTAAAGATAGTGTATATTTTATAAAAATTTCATTACAAGTGGATTAGTGAACAGTGTATTAACAATAAGTCAGTAATAAATAGCAATGAATTTGCTTAATGACAAATCTTTGGAAGACATTTTAGAGAATGAGTTTCTAAAAATTTTTATAAACCTATAAATTGTGTTATGGCAGTTGACAACAATTTTTAATTTTTTAAAGTACTTTTTATCAAAATGGCATACATTGAATGAAAAATACCTTTAAAATATTGTTTAAACATGTTATCTCATAATGTTCATTCATTACAAACTTAAAAGATATTTTTTCAAATCTGTGGATAAGTTGAAGAATTTTTTTATCAATCCCACAATCTGTAGCAAGTGGTGAACGTTCTTTCAGCAAATCAAAAGCTATAAAATCATATTTAAGATCAATAATGACACAAAAGAGACTTAATTCTTTGGCAATAATTTCTATTGAAAATGAAATCGCAAAAGCAATTGATTTTGAAGAGTCTATAAAACTGTTTGCGTCTTCTAAAGCACGAAAAATTAAATTTTAATGTTTATATATTTTGTAAGTCATGAAAGATTATGCTCATTAAAAATATCACTTATCTTAGATATTTATTCTAGAATACTTGAGGAGGTATTCTTATTAATTAAACTATGTCTTTGTTTTTTAAACTTGAAATTGTTATTTGTCTTCTTCATTTGTTTCTTAAATCAAAATTTAAGGTTGATATAAATTTTGTAGTAGAAATCTTAAAATTTTAAACATAAAAAGCTATTTTATAGAACGTTATAGCTATACCAGTGAGACAGTTCATGGAGAAAAATAAGTTTTAATTATTATTATTATTTATATTTAATTCAGATTCCTTTTTCAAATTGAGGTAAGGGTGTTGTTTTAAGTATCACCAGCTGCGAGAAAATTCTTCCAACACTGTATATATATATATTTCTAATAATTAAATTTTTATCCTCCATGCATATCTTTAAAATAGAGATTTATATTATTTTTAAGAGGCACCCATTCTCTTGGCAAAAAAAAGACCCTAAAATTTAGAATTCTTGGATCCTAAAGACCTGTATTCTCTGAAGTCTAGCTAAATCTATGGATTTAAAACTAAAAAAGTTTTATTATGAAAGCCTCAAAAAAATCAAGAAATTGCAAAATATATAACATTTTAATTAAGAGATATGGGTTAATCAGTTGCAAAACTTTTTAAGTTCCATCAAGATTCTTTTATAAAGTAAAAACAAATTCTGTAACAGAAGTTATTTTTACTTCATTAAAAAAAAAAAAAAAAAAAAAAAAATACAGAATTTTAGTAATTATAATTTTGTAACAGAGCCTGTCTATATAAAGTCAATAACAAAAAGTATATTAATTTAAAGAAAAGAATCAGAATGGAGCTTACTGAATTTTTCAATTGAGTGACTTATATATAATACAGTGAAACCTTCAGGAAAGACCATCTCTGTGTGGCAACCTCCACTATATATGACCATTTTTGGGAAACTCAGACTTTTTTTATAGACTTTGTGTTGAAGAAAAACCTTTTCCCACTTGGATCAAAACCTCTCCCAGCAAAATAAAGAAACAAAAAAATATCAACAAAAAAAATATTAACAAATAAGTTGATTTAAATTCATTCAAAAAGTTTGTGAGTGGCTCTTATTTGGAGAGCTCTTTTTGACGATTGCTAAAAGAGATTGACAACTTCATGTTACAGTCTGATGCTATCAATGATTTAGTCAAATTAGAAAAAAAAAGTAATTTTAGAAAAAGCTAAGCATCTTAAACAGACAAATCTCATATTTTTTTTTAAAAATAAAATATTTTTTTCATGATATAAAATTAAATGCAAACTTTAACAAAAAACATGATTGTTTATTTATTTAAAATAGTTCTATCATTCATATTTGATAAATTTATTTTTACACATAATTACATTAGCAGAGGTCATTTTTATTGACACTAAATTTTATTTGACACCAACACAAGTGATATTTCCGCACCAAGAAAATAAAGCTGAGTAAAATTTAAATTGCTTGCGAAAAATAAAGTACCTTCAATAACATTATTTAAGAACGTCCAACCTCCAATAACGACCAATTTATTGAGAAAAAAGAGTGGTTGCTCCCTAAAGGTTTCACTGTACTACTTTCTCATAATTAAGGTCTGTAGTAAAGCGTAGTTAAGGCTTCAGATTCTGAATAAACTTACTATAAAAGTTTAAAATTGAAATTTAGTCTGTTGATTTAAATTATGAAAATTTTAAATGGATTTAATATTCAAGCAATGTTTTATGCATAATTCTAAACTATTTTCTGCTTAACGAGAAAGTTTTAGAAATATTGCAATAAAAAATTATAAATAATATTATCTAGACTTAATGCATTTTTTTTCTTCAAAAAAATTAATGATTGCTGAGTATCTTCAAAGCTTAGATTCCTGTGTTGTGAAAGACTTAATTAAAATTAGTCATACCTGAAGATCTATACTCTGCTTTGGAATCTGAAATTGGAAAATTCAAAGATATTACTTACGAGACATTACAAGCATGGAAGAAGGAATCAAAGTAAAATTTACTGTTCATCAGATCAGTACTATTTTTTAGAAGAAATAAGTAGAATTTTTTATTCATACAATTTTGATAACTGTAGATTTATAAATTCCTTTTTTAAATTTGTGTATTGATCCAGACTTGACTTCAACTTCATCCATATTCATTCTTGTTTTTCTTTAATCAAAACCAATATACACTGATGGAAAAAAAATCCCTACACCAAGAAAAATTTATTGTAGAGTAATGAAATTTCAGCAATGCATTTGCCGGAGTAATATATTCAATTGATTAAAGTTTCAAGATCACAGGTTAATGCAATTAAAAGAAAAATCATTTCAAACGTGAAATACTAGTATATTAATAAACAGTGTAACCACCACAATTTTGAATGTAAGCATGCAATTGGGCATGCATTGTGTTACACAGATGCTGTATGCCATCTTGTGGGTGGAGTTCCATGCCTGTTGCTCCATGCTCTGTATTGGTCAGTCAATATGGAGATAGTTAATGCTAGTTGAGGATGACGCTGAAGTTGTCACCTAATGATGTCTGATACATGCTCGATTAGTGAAGGATCTGATCTAGCTGGCCAAGACAACATGCTGACATTCTATAGACTATGTTGGGTTACAACAGCAGTATGAGGGCGAGCATTATCCTGTTGGAAAATACCCCTTTGAATGCTGCTTATAAATGGCAACAAAACAGTTTGAATCACCAGGTTGACATACAGATTCGCTGTCAAAGTGTGTGGAATAACAACGAAATTGCTTCCCAGACCATTACTTCAGGTGTAGGTCAAGTGTTCCCAGGCCGGAAAAAGGTCAATAGCAGGCATTCACCTGTCTTCCTTCTAACCAATATAGGGTTATCAGTAGCACCAAAGCAGAACAGACTTTCATCAGAAAGCACAATAGATCTCCGCTCTGTCTTCCAGTAAATTCTAGCTTGACGCGATCTACGTCCTAAACGGCAGTGGTTTGGAGTAAGTGGAATACAAGCTGCAGGGCGTCTCACTCGAAGCTGTACTTGAAGTAGCTGATATAACAGTTCGTTGTGTCACTGCAGTGCCAACTGCATTCGAATTTCTGATGCAGAGGCGGTACAGTGTGCCATATCTATACACGGCGGTCTTGAGTAGTGCGGCGTGACAGCCCAGAACCCAGTATTCATAAAGCAGTACCTTTCCTTAATCACTGCTGCCAACAATCATGGATAGTGGATACATTTCTTCCCAGTCTTTCTGCAATATCGCGTGGGGGGGTGTTTAAACATGTTATCTCATAATGTTCATTCATTACAAACTTAAAGGATATTTTTTCAAATCTGTGGATAAGTTGAAGAATTTTTTTATCAATCCCACAATCTGTAGCAAGTGGTGAACGTTCTTTTAGCAAATCAAAAGCTATAAAATCATATTTAAGATCAATAATGACATAAAAGAGACTTAATTCTTTGGCAATAATTTCTATTGAAAATGAAATCGCAAAAGCAATTGATTTTGAAAAGTCTATAAAACTGTTTGCGTCTTCTAAAGCACGAAAAATTAAATTTTAATGTTTATATATTTTGTAAGTCATGAAAGATTATGCTCATTAAAAATATCACTTATCNTTGTCATCAGTGTATGTTGTACACTACTTTGGCTGAGCATGATACTGTTGCTGTTAAGTTATTCTTTTTGGACAGCTATTTTTTTTCTTTTTCACAAACGTAAATGAACATTAAGATTAAGGATGTTTATTAAAGAATGAATATTGATTTTATTAATTTAGAATCATATTTGTAGAGAAACCTATTTATGTTCTTTCTCATAAAATATAAAATAAGCCTAATTTGCAAATATTTATCAGATATGACCTAAGATTTCTACATGTAGTCAGGCAGTAGTCAATTTTTAATACCACTCTATTTGTCTTCGTACAAAATAATAAGTATGAAAAATATGTACCATAGTATTTATATTAAACTTTCCATATTCTACCAGACTTTTTTTAACCAAATATTTTAGTTCATTTTCTTTATTCTTTTAGTTTATAGTTTAGTTTTACCTTAATCATTTCCTCTTGAGAAGATCTTTTAATTGTCATGATGAACTAGTTTTAAGTTATAATCAGTTGAATTTTTTAAAAAAGATTATAGCTCTGGGACTCATAAAATATGTTAAATTACATGCTAAAGTATCATAAATATTTATATTTCATTTTAATGTTGCAATGAGCTAGCAAATTGATTTGAAAACAACTGTGGTGCAAGCAGTTTCAAGGGCGTAGCCCTAAATATAATTTGAATAAATATATTTTAGTTATTTTATGTCCAAGTTGAAATACTTACTTCTTGAGATGTTGTTTAAGATTTAATGTTGGGGTTAAGAAAAGTATTGTTAAAGAAAAGATTTATTGTTAGAAAGAGCTTTTATGCATTTCTGGATCCTAAGGTATACCCATAGATACTTATCAGAGGGAATGGAGGCAGCACTTTTGCATGTCTGTGAGAAAGTTATGCAAGGAATAGAGTTTTTTATATACAAGAACAGGCAGAAATTGCTGGGACCTGCAGAAGTTTTGTTGCTGAAGCAGAATTTAGACTATAGATAGATGGTGAAATGCCCGATGAAACTTCTGCGAGTACTACATCAAAACTTCTATAGCTGCAATGATAAACCTACTCCCACCTGTTCTCACATATTAAAAAAAACTTTGTCTGAACATCATTTTTCCACAGAGATGCAAACAGCTGAAACACCCTTGCCTCATTCCCATATATCAGACTTCTATGATTCCGGACAATAAGTGCTTATTCTATAGTATTACAAATTTTACAATTCCAGTGGCTTTTATGTTAAGTAGTGTCTGAAATATTGCTTTATATTTTGCAATAAATCTTTTAAGATAATTATGTTTGGTTCCATTTTATGGGCTTGCCATAAGAAACGTACTATAAATACAATATATATATATATATATATATATTCCCCTTTAAATCTCACTATAAGTTCTTTTTCAATGTATTGTGCAACTTATGAATCTCAGATGTGTTTGAATATTATGAAATACAGATACATTGATAACATTGCAGGTTTTCAGATATCATTATTCATTACCTGGAAACGAATTATCATAGTTTGTCCATTGAAAATACTAAGTTATTGTACTATATACAATTTTTGATAATCTTTGTAAACGTCAAGTATACAGACTTGAGGAAGAAAGGTATTGGTTTTATTGTTGGGTATGTTTTTAAAAATTGATTAATCAAGTAATTATCTTCTATTAAATTTGAAAAAGTTATGCTGAATTGTTATAAACTTTTAAGTAAGTTCTTTTATATTTCTGTGTTACTTAAAGTTGACATATTTTTCCTGAAATGAAAAAAAATTACTGTTAATCTGAAAGTCTAATAAATTAAAAATTTTTTGAATGTTTTGTTCATAAATATACATTCGAAAAAGTACTACCATAAGAGCCAGTTTGCTGGCCAGGAGATAATTGAGGTTAAGTCTCCACAATTTCAAGACCAACAGCAGGATGGCTACAATGTGGTCAGCATTTAATATCAACCTTTGCTTCCCAGACAAGCTAATACCAATCAATCTAAAACTGGAAAAGCTTCAAGCTGTCACCTGAGTTAAATATACATGTTTATTCATAATTTCCTCCGGGCAGGAACTGGACTATTGCATTGATGTATGCCGTGTGACCAAGGGTTCACACATAGAACACCTGTAATGTATGTAAGTAAAACTTGAATAGTTTCGGAATAATTTCAAATGTTTCTTTTTTTTATATTAGTCTTCCTTTTTTTTTTTACTATAATGCTTCAAAACCCTGGAGGGAATTATGAATAACCCTGTATATATCTTGATATAGTTTTTATACTTTATTTACTAAATTATTTTTTTAAAATTGAAGAAAACATAGATTTCACTTAAGTGTGTGTTTTCATGAAAAAAAAAGTTTTTTTTGGGGGGAAATTATATGAATTATAAGTTATACATCAGAGGATAATTTATATTTAATCTTGAGGCAGCCATTACATGTAACTTTCATTACAAACAATTTTGAAATAACAAAAGTTATCTGATAGTAATAGAGTTCAATTAATATTCTCAAAAATATTTAACTTTTCAATTTCTTTTCTCTTCCATGAAAAGGCTTAAATTACCTTTTATTTCCTGACAGTTCTTTTCTCTTTAAATTCTTATACCAGCAAACCAGATTTTCCCTTGAATTATATCAGTTATTGATAGTAATTTGGATAAAAAGTTAAGAACTCTGAATCTTAATATACTAAATCAACTAGTCATAAACTGGTGTTAATTGATAAAATGTTTTTGACAAATTCTAGAAGTTAATAAATTTAGTTAAAATTTAAAAAAAAATTGAAATATCATAATAGGGTAATTTTTAAAAGTTTTCTTTTTATCATTATTATAAATATTCTCGTAGCAAAATTTTACTGAACATTATAAAGTATATATTTATAATTCCATAGATCCACTTCCTGAAATACCACAACCTTACAGGCAAGGCATGATGAAAAGATACCTGCTAAATAGGTAAAATACTTTTAATTTTTTATATACATTTTGTACAGTGTGCCAAAAAAGGGTCACTTTGAATAAATTTTGATCTAATGATTGGATCTTCATGTTCTAGGACTCAATCTTCATGGTTTCAGGGGGTGACCTCAAATATGGTAATTATTTAGTTGCAGATGATGTTTTAAGTTACAAGATCAGACACTAAAATGTTCTTTCTCTAAATAAGCATAAATGTTTCAGATTTTTGACTCAGAAAATATGGTCCTAACAGGAGAGTAGTCTAAAGTTTTTAACCCTTAAATGCTAATTTTACTTTTTGTGTAATTCGATATATCTCTCAAGAACTTTTTAAGCAAATTGAAAAAATTTTTAAATTATAAAATTCATTTTTCCAAATATAATTCCATGCCAAAGATAGACTTTAGTAAATATTTATTATTTTATTTAATAATAGTTTAAAAAATAATCAACACCTAACCCAAAATTTTCCTGTCATTGAAGGCTTGTTGACAGCTTCACATAGGTAATCTCATCTAAAATTAACAAAAACAGGTAAAAAAATAACTGAAATTATGATGTTATTAACAAATAAAAAATTAATGACGTATGAGATGTATTTACTGAAAGTATGAAAGCATTTACTAAGAATAGCAAACTTTACCTTAATGTAAAAGACTTATACTTATATACCCTTTAATACATTGATTCTAAAATATTTTTGATTTTAACAGTTAGTAGAAAAAGAGGGTTAGTGTAGACATTTTTACAAATTTGTCAAAAAACCATATTTAGTATAATTTTTAACTCGTGAAGTATTTTTTAAACAATAATTTTAACGTTTACCTTCATCCTGGTTTATATTTGAAATTACAAAGTTTAATTTTTTTAGAATAATCTTTAAAAAAAAGTTTGTTTTTGTTCCCACTACACTGGCTAGTGTGGACAAGCTTGATAACTTATTAAGTAATCATTTATTACAACTCAGAAAGGTATATTTAAAGCCAAAATGGAATCAATTTCAATCTTAGCCTTATATGAGAGTAAATACTGACATGTTTATTCTCAAATAAGGAAAATACTAATTTGTAATAGAGCATTTCACTATAATAAGAAAGATATATTAAATCAATACATTTGAAAATCATTAACCAATCTGCTTTATTTGAAAGCACATAACTAATTTTAAGTTGATGAAATGGTCTGAATGAGCAACACATGCATGGTGCATTGCTTAGTGATATTTTCATCCCTGGAGCAATGGAAAAACTCACTAAAGAGAAGACTGGACTATTCACTGATATTCTGTTTTATTTTGATGTATGGTAAAAAATTTTATTTAATTCAATAAAAGTGAATTAATGTAATGATTTCATGCTATATGTTTTACTTAATATTGAAACCACTAATTATAAAAACACATCATCCAACTAAATCATTCTGATTTAGAATATAAATAACATCAAATGTGTTATAACTGATAGATGTATTATATTTATAACCGGTATATGTGTTATATATATATCTGGTATTATACAGTATCTTTCTTCCATTGGAAGTTGAATGGGGTCACTGTGAATATGTCCACACAAGTCCCACCACCATGTGTTTATACTAGCTCCATGAAAACATGTTTGTTTATGCTTAAAGCTGGTAAAATATGCAAAGCAAAAGTAAATATTAAGTTTGATTACACAACTACAAATGTAAGATCTATGATATGCCTATCTACTATATCTCAAAGATGAAATTTGACTAATAGGTAAAAAAGTTATTCAAGATGTTCAATCTAGCCCCTCCTCCTCTAAGTATTAGATTTACTCTGAATAAAATGTTTGCTGTTTTGTATAACTATATTTGAATATCTTGGTTTACAGTCCAATGTTTTATATCAATGATCATAATATTTGAAATAAAGAAAAATTATTATTCATAAATTTATAATTATTTTGTCAATTTAATATCTGTTTAGTTTTAAAAAAATCATTATTTATGGTTTCATAATTTAATCATATTGCAATAATTACCAATTGAATGCAAATTTTCTTTATCCCGTGGGGTTAGAAAAATACCCTGTTATCTGTTTGATAAAGATGTTTCAATTATAAAAATTAAAGCTAAATGCATTTTCTTGAAAATGATCCATATGGAGTTTATAGCAGAAAATATACTATTTTTTGAGAAATTTTTTTTTCAAACTTTGATGTTCTGGTGGGTGGAGTCTAAATAAGTTTGAGCTGAAGCTTTCCTTTCAGATTATTGGTTTTATGCCAAATGGTAACTTTTTAGAGGGCAACGTCCATAAAATTTGAATTTGTGACAATTCAACTGTATAAGCTAAAGTGAATATTTTAAACATACAGATTTTAAGGAAAGTGTGTCAAACTTTTGTATCATGTTTTGTCTTTCTATAAATGTTATATATATATATAACAAAAAAAGCTTCAATTAATCTTTTTATGTTATTCCTTTTCTGTAAATCCTTTTCTTAATTTATTATTCAAAACAAAACGCTTTCTCACACTTTTAAATTCACATCCTGTCCTTTAATCTACTTTTGGTTCAAGTATGCATTAATTAAAAGTAAGACATTTTCCCCTTTGCTCTTTGTGGGAATCGCGCGACCTATTTAATAAACCAATATCAATTACTAAGTTTTCCCTTATTCCCTAGAATGAAACATTTTATGCAAGATTTTTGCAAGATTTTCCTTAACTTTTATTGAGGAACACAACGATTTTGTGTCCACTTTGATAACTGTTCTCTGTCTAATAATTAATAAATAAATTTCGTTTCCTTTTTCCCTGCCTAAGACCTGTTTTTTTCCTTCCACTCGGCAACGGCGTTATATATAGGGTAAACGAACCAGAGAAGGAACACTACCCAGTGAAGGAACATTTCATATATATTGATTTAAAAATAAGAATTTGAAAGTTTTTCTTTAGATTGATTGGTAACAATAGCTTACTGCCAAACAATAGGAAGTCATCAGCAATATTTTGAATTACCTGGTCAAATAGACTTCTCTGGAAAAAATTTTGAATTTGTTATTATCTCTGCAACACCTTGTTTCGTTGAAAAAATTATAAGATGAGTGTTTGTATTTATATGTTTGAAGTGGAATTAATTGCATGTAATAGTTTTATTTTTCTCACTGTGAAAAAGAGAATTCAAAATATAGTTATTGAAGTTACGTTTTATTTTTTTAAGCATCATAGCATAATAAAGTACTGAGATAAGGGGGTGTTTATTCACTAGATCACCAAACGATGAAAAACCAGTGAAGGAACAAGTGTTCCTTTACTGGTTTTTTTTCTAAGTTAATGAAAATAAAAGATAAACTTTAATTTTCGTGTACCTTTATTGATGTTCCGCATCAAAAGTATGTTAAAAATACGAAAAACAACTACTAACCAGTGAGGGAACAGGCATGTTCCTTTACTGGGTATAGATTTCCCAGTGAATGAACAATATGTGTTAATATGTTGACACTTTACTTTTCAATTCATGATTACAAAAAAAAGTTAACATTTTCCAAGTATTTGTATGTTATAATTTCAAGAATAGGCTTGTTTTTAGATATTTGTATGGCATATAAATTTGTAAAGAGCATTAAAAAATAACCAAAATTAAGTGTTCCTTCACTGGTAAGAGCTGTTCCTTCACTTGGTCTTCTTACTACTTGTTTTTTTTAACCTCCAAAACTTTAAAACATTATTATGTAAGTTCTTGACAATTTTTTTACATAATTTGCAATTAGTAACAAATATATTGACACTGTCATTTAACTAAAATTACGAATTTTGAAATTAATATGATTTTTTAAAAGGCAAGCGAAGCTTAAGTGTTCCTTCACTGGTTAGTTTACCCTATATATATATATATATAGGGTAAACCAACCAGTGAAGGAACACTACCCAGTGAAGGAACATTTCATATATATTGATTAAAAATAAGAATTTGAAAGTTTTTCTTTAGATTGATTGGTAACAATAGCTTACTGCCAAACAATAGGAAGTCATCTAGCAATGTTTTGGATTACCTGGTCAAATAGACTTCTCTGGAAAAATTTTTGAATTTGTTATTATCTCTGCAACACCTTGTTTCTTTGAAAAAATTATAAGGTGAGTGTTTGTATTTATATGTTTGAAGTGGAATTAATTGCATGTAATAGTTTTATTTTTCTCACTGTGAAAAAGAGAATTCAAAATATAGTTATTGAAGTTACGTTTTATTTTTTTTAAGCATCATAGCATAATAAAGTACTGAGATAAGGGGGTGTTTATTCACTGGATCACCAAACGATGAAAAACCAGTGAAGGAACAAGTGTTCCTTTACTGGTTTTTTTTCTAAGTTAATGAAAATAAAAGATAAACTTTAATTTTCTTGTACCTTTAGTGATGTTCCGCATCAAAAGTATGTTAAAAATACGAAAAACAACTTCTAACCAGTGAGGGAACAGGCATGTTCCTTTACTGGGCATAGATTTCCCAGTGAATGAACAGTATGTGTTAATATGTTGACACTTTAATTTTCAATTCATGATTACAAAAAAAAGTTAACATTTTCCAAGTATTTATATGTTATAATTTCAAGAATAGGCTTGTTTTTAAATAGTTGTATGGCTTATAAATTCATAAAGAGCATTAAAAAATAACCAAAATTAAGTGTTCCTTTACTGGGTGTTCATTCACTGGTAAGAGCTGTTCCTTCACTTGGTCTTCTTACTACTTGTTTTTTTTTAACCTCCAAAACTTTAAAACATTATTATGCAAGTTCTCGACAATTTTTTTATATAATTTGCAATTAGTAACAAATATGTTGACACTGTCATTTAACTAAAATTACGAATTTTGAAATTAATATGATTTTTTTAAAAGGCAAGCGAAGCTTAAGTGTTCCTTCACTGGTTAGTTTACCCTACATAGCATTCATTAATGAATTTAGTATACTGAGTTAATCATTATTTTGAAATATATGCCACAATATTTTTATGGAAATGTGATAATTTTTTTTAGATCATTCCCACAAAGGATGAAAGATAAGTTAGTGGCAGATTTAATTATTTTATGTTTGCATCTGAATCATTTTAATGTTGATGGAACACTTCTTGCTTTAAGCACTAAAATTAGCATAAAAAGGTACTTGCATCAAATTTTTTTCTATTTAGTTTGTGAACGCTGTTTCATATTCTTATTGTTTATAATTTGATAAATCTTTCATGCTTGATTTAGCCACAAATTTTATCAGGATGTTTTCTTCTTCATTCAAGATAACTTTTAAAAAAAATTTTATAATATGTTTATGCTGTTGTTTTAAAATAAAATTAATTTTTTTCTCATAATTTATGAATTTTAAAATGTATTATAGAGAAGTTATTAATTTTTTAAATTTAGTTGTATTTAAAAGGTTTCATTAAAATAAATATGAAATTTTTTTTTAAAATCCTGTCATTAGTTAATTCTAAAAAACTAACTACCACTAAGCACACAAGAAAATACAGGTTACTTCAAAAATCGATTACTACGTATTGACGTCATTTATGTGTAAGCAAGTTTTGAAAGAGAAGCAAAAAAATCCTTGCTCAATTGTTTCTACTTGAAGATTTTAGTATTACATCGAGTGGTGAAGGGTAAGAATAATAAAATATGGTATTTGTATTGCATTTTTAATTAACAATGTAAGCATTCTATTAAAAGGTTACATTAATGTACCTTAAAGCTACGATATAAGGTCTAAAACTTGTAATAAAAGGGACATTGCGTCTTTTAAGCTGAGCTTATCTTATGATGAAGATGGCAGGTTAGCCATATTTTTCTTCGCATGGTCTAAGATTATACGCTGTTAGAAATGTAGGAATCTTTTCAATAACTAAAAAGTCAATGTTCAATTTTCATGAATCAATTTTTAAAAAAATTAAAATGTATAATAAAAGCAATTTACAGCAGAGAATAGGCAATTGATAGTTTTGCCCATCTAATCTCAAGAACTGTCCCATAAAAAATATTAATTGTTATAATGAGGGATTGTTATAATAATGAAATGGATTATTTATAAACAATCAAAACATTAAGGTTAAATAATAGGTTACTTCCCTATTATCTTTATTTATAATAAGTGATAAACATTGATTCAAAACAGTTGCTGAAGTTTATTTTTTTGTTTAAATTGTTCAATTTGGTAGATTTAGTTTTGATAATTGTTTATATTGTTATAGATTGTAACTATGAAATTAAAATAAAATTTACTAAACTATTTCTTTTGACTTTTAAGTACCTGTGAGTTTTTTGTAAGTCTAAAAGAATAATTTTAAATTATACCCTGTTACCCACAAATTTCTATTGATTATTAAACCTTTTAACTACTTCTAAGAGTAGCCATAACTTGCAAAAAATATTGTGTGGCTTTTAAACTTCTATTATAAATAATAATTTTTTTTCTGAGAACATTTATATTTTTGTTTATTTCAAACTTTATACTACTGTGTTTCCAGTTTATAATCAACCCAAGGTTTTAAACCCTTTAGTTTGCAAGTTCCTATGTTTTCTTAAACTTTAATCTAGTATTTATCTTGCAAAAAAAATATTTTTTCACACCTTTCACTGAAAAAAAAAATACATCAAAATTTCTGTACAATCTTGCCCAAATATAAGTCTATATATAATCTTCTGTTAAAAGATTAATGAAAATAGATGTTAATTACTTTAACAAACGTTTTTAAATTGTATTTAATTTATTTTATTTCTAAAATTGAAAAATGCTTTATTGTAAAAAATTTTTCTTTCAGATTAATAAATATAGCTTATGCTTTGGGATGCTATGTTCATTCAGTCAAAGGTAATATAAACAAGAGGTTTGAACTTAAATTACCATTATATAAGTATGAACCTATAAGAATGAAACGAAAATAATATGTAAGACATAATTAAAATAAAAGCATAACTGAGAAAAATAATCAAAATTATTTTTCTACTTTCATCATATGACCGTAAATGTTTGCATATCAAAATTTTTTTGAAAGTACATTTATTTTGTAAATAAAGAATTTCACAAAAGGAAGGCAACTTTACTCATATTTTATTAATAAATAAAAGAAATCGCTTTGACATTAAATTAAAAAAGAAACTGTGATTTTTGAAAGATCAGGCTTTTTTTTTTATTAAAGACATTTTTTTTTGTCATTTACAATATGAAAAAAATAAAATATATTAAAAAAATTAATATTTTGCTATCTATAAAAATGTCCTGCTTTCTCTCATTAATTTAATTTGGTTAAGAAAAAAAATTAAAATTCTATACATCTTTTAAATAACAGATATATAGGTTGCAGCAATTGGATAATTTCTAACTTAATTACTTATTAGTAATCAAAAGTATATAACGAAGAATATCTTAAAAATTACGCCATGTTTTTTTAATGAATTATTTGTTTCTGTTGAGTGTGAAACAATGTCACAGTTTTAAATTAAAACTTTCTTCTGAAAAAAATTAAATTAAAATTCAAGTTTTGTTATACGAAAGACATTTAAATCTTTGAAAGTGGTAGAGAGCAAAAAGGTTAAAGAACAATAAAATATTGCAAAAAGTAAGTTAAAACCAGAATGGAAATAGCCAATTTAAGCATTTGTTTTCTTAATACTAAAGGAAATTATCAGCATAGGGTGTTCTGTAGTTTCTACTTTTAACGCACATTTTCAAAATTCTTGCCGCAAGTGTTTGAAGATTAGAATCTCAGCTTCATTGCAATTCATCTTGATAATGATTCTTCAGACTTTTGTAATGTTTTTTGTATTTTTTTGCTTGAATATCTTTTTGCAACCTTAACATTTATTCATTAAACTAGTGATGCAGCGGCTGTATTTATTTACACAACTCAAAGTTACGATGTGGAGTAGAAATTATTATGTTTGTTTAATGTTTACGATTAATAAACCAACCTTTATTGAAAGAAAAGCTTTCTAATTGACTTTTGTTAACAGAGGTATTTTGACTGAACAGCCGTATTTACTAAATAAGTTAAATATATACATTCAACAAAAAACATCCAGATGAGATCTGAATTAAAAAAAAGAATTTTAATTAGGTTCTAAATTTACAGTTTAATGCACATTTTCTGTACACTTTTGTTGGAATAATTTGCAAAATGTATAAAGTTTTATAGAGTAGTAAATAATCTTTCTGAGGAACTATAAAAAATTCATTTTGATTAATTGTAGTAAACAATATGCAACTAAACATTTCAATCTTAGGTAAGTAATATTTCTTTAGCAACAAGGCATGTAGTAACAATTTAAACTTTTTATTGAACAAAATGCAACAAAAAGCATTTGTGTTGGTACCAGGCTAAAATTATTGCCAAAGAACTATTACTGGACAGTGAAATACAAAGTTTTCTTACATTACTTAAAAATTAACAAAATTACATTAAAAATACTCTTTGCAACCCATGCAAGGATGTATTGTTAAAGAATTAATACAGAAAAATATATATCACATATTGGTTTGTTAATGTTATTTATATGTTTTGTACATGGCAGTAACTGTTTAACATTTTTTTAAATACCTATTGTTATGACTTTTAAATTTCTCTCTTCTGTTTATTGACAACAAATATAGTTAAAAAAAATAAATGTTGACAAAGATAAATTATTTGTAATTTAAGAAATAGCTCAACAGTAATAATTATTCAATTTAAATTTTAATTAAAATTATTGCTCTTAAATGTGCATTGTGAATAGGAAACTAGTACTTTGACAATATAACAAATACATACAGAGAAATGTCTGCAAAGTTTTATCTAAATAAGTATGACAGTAAAATAAATACATAAATTGATAGAAGAAATTACATTTATATTTATTGAAATTTTTTAATTCTTAATTGATTCAAGCTAGATATAAGGTTGGGCACCCCTTTCTCAATGTATATGCAGAATTTCCTAAAACTTTGTGTACAACTATGGAGAGGATTTAGAAAATACAGTTTGGAACCATAACTAGATAAGAAAGCATAAGTGGGAAACTCCATAACGCCATAGTGAAACACACACACACAAAATAAACAAAAAATAAGGCCACAATACAGAAAAATCATCAAATGCTTTATAAAAACAAAGGAATATAATGTATGGCTCATAAGTAGGAAGAGTTACAAATTGCATTTGTTGACATGGATGCACACATCTATAAGACATGGATTGGCAAATCTTTTAAAGATACTTGGAGCTTTGTTGATCATAGCAGCAAAGATTTGTGTCAGCAAGTCCACTTCAGAATTTAAATCAGGTACACAATGAGAAATCTAGACTTGCCTAACTTAAGAGTTTGCACACAGCTGCTACTTATTGATTCCCACCCTACTTTCCCATCTATACTTTCCATACACATTTTCTAAGTTATGGGAAACTCTGTATATGCAAACTAAACAGTCAAATTTGTTTAGCTTTAACTAATAAAGACTAGACCTAAAAGTATAAGGAGGATATCATCTTACTATCTAGCTGACAAGCAAATATCCAGATTACAAATTTTCATTTAGTTTACATTTTAAGACTTGAAAAAATCAACAAATACAGATGAAAACAGACATAGACTTGCGATCTTCCATGATTTGAATCAATGAATGATTTATTTTCATCCCACATCTAGTTCTCAAAACTTAAATTATAATTTAATAAAAATATCAGAATACATTGTATTGATTTTTCCAAATATATATATATATATTAACAAAAATTACTAATAGAGAAAAAAATTAATAATATAATACACAAATGAAAATAAAATTTATTTCACAGATTATTCACAGATCATTGGTTCAAATTATTAAAAACTGATTTGATGAGTGTTTTCTTCTTTTAACTTATGCTTCATACAAGTAAAAATAATTGGGTGCCAACTCAAAACTTATTTAACAGCTGAGATAATTAACTTGTTAGTGTTGAGTTAGCCATTCAGAAGCTCGCTTTAGTTTAATTTTAACTGATCAGAGCTCAGTATAATATGGACTGGAAAGTCTGTGGTGGGGAGTAATGTGGCATAACTACCACTATAAATATTAAATACCAATTCACTAGTATATAAGACATGCCAACTTGATTCTATCTTGAGGTATCTTTTGATAGATGAAGGTTGACATAGACCTTAATTATAACCTTTCAAGTCTCTAGCATTAAAATGACATGTAACATCAAAACTATTCAGCAATTGTAAGATACAAGTAGTTTTTTTCAATTTGGCACTTTTGTTTTAAGTCAGAGGGTAGAAGAAGTAAAATCTACTTGGTACACTTACCACAAAGAAAATAAACAGTCTTAAGTAGAAATATGTGTTTTTTTTTCTTAACATTAATATATGAGGGTAATTTCACAGATAAATGATATTTGTGCATTTAGGATAAAAATTTAATCTAAAGAATTTTTTTTGTTCTTATAGTGTATTTTTAAATGAATTTAAATAAGCTTATTAGGTTAGTTATATAACCTAATAAGCTTATTTATATGATATATTATTATATAACTGATTTTTTAAAAGAGACATACTTAAATTTTAATTTTGAAAAATGTTAATTACGTCTAAATAATTTCGATAAATAAGTTGCAAAACTTGTTAAAACAATAATTGTGCAATTTAAAAAAAGCTTAAAATGACCTTTAATTTAAAACTGCACGCGACTTACATCACCCTTTTTACAGTAGTTATATTTTAAAGGGATATATCATAGGCACCAAACCAAAAGTTGGTCAATTTTGCAAGTTCTAGTTCTGTATACAAGCTTATATCGATTTTAAAAGTAAGCCAAATATAAGAATTTACTCTTATAAAAGTGCTACCTTGATACAAATGTTATAGGAATTGAACGATATTGGTTTAAATATACCCCTGGACAGTGGCGTAGCGAGCTTAACTCGCGCCCGGGGCACAATGGTACTTGAAGCTATGTAGTANAAATATACCCCTGGATAAACAACTAGACTTACAGTTATATTTCTCTAAAAATCATGATGTGTCAGCGATTGCTTTTAATGGTCCACCTCAGTAACTTAAAGAATTCATGATTAAAGTTTACCATAATGACCCCCTCCCATTTTTTTCCCAATTATTTTTGCTTTTGTAACTTGGTTAGTTGCGTAATGTAGATGATATTTTAAAACTTAGGAGGTCATTAAGCATATTTTGGAAAAATATATAAATTGATTCCTGGTTAATATTTTCCTCTCAAAAATATTATTATAATAAAAATTGATAATCGTAAAACTATAATAAAATAGTAAAGTTTTCGAGTAAAATTCCATAGTGGTTGCTTTATTAGTTGCAGATATAATCCATATTATTCAAAAAAAAAACATAATAATTTAATATCTCAGAATAAAGGTAGGATAACAGATATTTTTAAACATAACTTTATACAACTTTACATTTCTTTATGCTGTTTCACAACAACACGTTTTTTTTGTGTATTATACTTTGAATACAAAAACATTAAAAGTGAAAAAGATCCATGGATACATCGATAAATCACAAAATCATGTTGTATGTATGGGGAGTTTGAAATGTCTCATAAACAAAGTGGAGGTGCTTTATTTATACATAGGCAATTTTGTAAATAGGCTAGTACGCATACAAGAATGTTTCTTCCCTATGCACTGTGTTCTTATCTAATAACATATGGGAAAATTTAAGGTATTAATAGTAATAAATTAAGTAAATATTTCAATTTGAAATGCCAATTTCTGTGAGCAGGATCATCAGCAGGAGCCCCCATCAGGGGGGAAGGGGGCGCACGATACGCCCACTTAAAGCTTGGGGGGGAATTTTTACACTAAATAAAACGAATAGTTTGGGGGGGGGGAATTTTTACACTAAATGAAACGAATAGTTTGGGGGGGGAATTTAGACGCTTTAAGTACATAAATAAAAGGAGCATTGTCATATTATGAGTAGAATGCAAGCAAAG